CTGCCCCTGCCCCCGACCTCCTCCTGGCCGAGCGGGATGCTTTGCCCGTCCGCGGCTCCAGCCCCCGCTCCCCTTCCTGCAAGGGCACATGCAAGGGGCAGAGGAAGGGACGCGGAGGGAAGGATGCGCTCCCTCTCTCCCGGTCCAGCAGCCGGACGTGGCCCCCAGCTCCCTGGTGCGCCTGGACCTGTTCTCAAGGATCTCCCTTCCTGGCCCAACAAGGGGTCCTCAAGGGAAGGGAGTATCGCTGCGACGTGTTGATGACGGGGGGTATACATGACCAACGTGGCCAGAGGACCCCCGAACTGAGCTGAGCTCAGGCGAGTGTGATGTGGGCTTCACGCTTTCCTTTCGCTTTCTGAGCCTAGCTGTGTTTTCATGGCACTGTGCTGGCAGCCAGCCTGGAACCGCTGCATGGCAAACGGGGAAGAGAAATGCCTCTGCTCTGTGCTTGCTTTGCCCAAATGCACCCACTTGACCCAGTCCTTCCCAGCATGGTATATGTGCAGGCTGCGACGTGCCCCATGAGGCGGAAGTGGCTGCAACTCCCGTTGTATGGGTGCAAGCGAGGGTCAGGGAGACTGATGTCAAGGTCCTCAATGAACCCGAGGTACCTTAGCTTTCTTTAGGCACCTGAAAACATTGATGTTCTGGGCCTGCATGGCTTGCCCAAGCTCACAGTGGGACTCGGAGAAGGGTAGTGCTTGTGGATGCTTTACAGCCCAGCTGTATTCCTGTCTACTTAATGATCTGTTCTACCTTCCTTCTGGTCTGTGGTGACTGAAAGAGGCCAAACAGTGTAGTTTGGTTATTCAGAGCAACCCTCTTTGGTCCCCTTTCTTTCCTGAGCTACTTTAGTCCTTCTTTTTCCAGCTCCTGCATTTCTCATTCTTTTTTTGAGGGTTCAGAAAGGGGAGATTTTTTTCTTTTTTAAGTTTCAAAATCTTCTCTAGAGGCAATGCTAAGTGCTGATCCCAAAGCCTGTCTCCATCCAGGTGTATGTTATAGGGAGCTTTGACCTGAATTCGCTTGTGGAGAAGGATTATTTGGGTGGCCCAAAACCCTGCTTAGCTCTCATTAGGCCAGCAAAAAAAGCTCAGCCCCTTCCTTCTCTCTTTCCTCACAGTTGCCACCAGACCTGTTTTTTGCATGTCTCTGCGGAGGACTGTCTAGAAAAATGATTCACATCCAGGGTGATATGGGCCTATTAAGGATATTGTGAGGGGCCACGCAGTGTTAGAATTGGAGAAAATGAGGGTTGGAAGGGACCTCAGGAGGTCACATCTAGTCCAACCCCCTGCTCAAAGCAGGACCACCCCCAACTAGATCATCCCAGCCAGGGCTTTGTCTAGCCAGGTCTTAAAAATCTCCAAGGATGGAGACTCCACCATCTCTCTGGGTGACCTGTTCCAGTGTTTTACCACCCTCCTAGTGAATGCGTTTTTCCTAATATCTAACTTAAACCTCGCCTGCTGCAACCTGAGCCCATTGCTCCTTGTTCCATCATCTGTCACCACTGAGAACGGTCCAGCTCCATCCTCTTTGTAACCCGCCCTCCGGGAGTTAAAGGTGGCTATCAAATTCCCTCTCAGTCCCTTCTGCAGATGAAATAAGCCCAGTTCCCTCGGCCTCTCCTCCTAAGTTATGTCCCCCAACTCCCTAACCATTTTCGTTGCTGCCTGCTGGACTCTCTCCAACTTTTCCATATCCTTTTAGCAGTGAAGCGCCCAAAACTGGACACAATGCTTCAGATGTGGCTTCACCAGCACAGAATAGGGGGGAATAATCACTTCCCTCGATCTGCTGGCAACACTCCTACCAGCGCAGCCCAGGATGCCATTAGCCTTCTTGGCAACAAGGGCGCACTGCTGGCTCATATTCAGCTTACTGTCCACTGTAACCCCCAGATCCTTTTCTGCAGAGCTGCTGCTTGGCCAGTTGGTCCCAAGCCTGTAGCGGTGCATGGGTTTCTTCCATTCTAAGTGCAGGATTTTGTACTTGTCCTTGTTGAACCTCATGAGATTTGCTTTGGCCCAATCCCCCAGTTTGTCCAGGTCACTCTGAATCCTAGCCCTATCCTCCAGCATACCTACTACATCCCCCAGCTTGGTGTCACCCATGAACTTGCTGAGGGTGCAATTCATCCCATCTTCCAGATCATTAATGAAGATATTGAACAAAACTGGCCCCAGGACCAACCCCTGGGGCATGTCACTTGATACTAGCTGCCAGCTAGACCTTGAGCCATTGATGACTACCCACTGAGCCCAATGATTCATCCAGCTTTCTACCTACCTTACAGGCCATTCATCCAACCCATAGTTCCTTAGCTAGCTTGCAAGAATGCTGTGGGAGCCTGTATCAAAAGCCTTGCTAATATCAAGATATATTAACATTGTTAAGTGTGCAAACACCTGCACATGAGTCACAAGATAAACCCAGAGATTGCAAATAGGAATCTTTTACTTCCCAAACATTCTGACCTACTTCTGACCTGACCGTCTTTTCAACAGGGGAAGTGCTCTATTATTTTTTCCATAGTCAAGAAAGGAGTGTAAGCTAAGAGCTGGCATGTTTGAAAGGGTGTCTTGAGCCTAAAAAGGTTGAGAACCACTTGTCTAGTCTAGCACAATAACTCAAGGGGTTTTTTCCTGAAGCTCTGAGCAGCTGCAACCCAGACTAAGCACCTCTGAAAGTAAGGTCATAGGGTGTTTCACTTGTTACGGCTCCTTTGCCAGGATCCTTATTCATCTTGTTGCAGCTCCTTTGCTTTTTGGGTTTTTTTTGTTATACGTGGGATGAGGCTGTTGATATGTCCGATGAATTAATACCTGGTGGCAGCCAAGAAATTTCAATTATTTCAAAGCAGCTGGAGAGAACTGTAATTTGCTGGCAGTAAAAATACTGGGCTTTGCTTTGCTCTGTCCAGGTCCAAGTGGATTCAGAGGTGCCAGTTCAATCCCCAGGCCTGAGCTCTAAGTTCTGTTTGCTTAGGGGGAGTGGGCAGTTTGCTGGGTGTTTGCTTTGGTGTCAGCAATGGGTGGAGGTAGAAGTGGGTAGAAAGCCTGAGCCTGGTGGAGTTTGCTCAGGATGTAATGGGCACTGTTGTTTTCTCACTGTGCCGTGTGCTTCATGTTCTTTGTCCTATGGGGACCTGAATAAAGAGGAAAGGAAGAATGAGCCATGCTTTGAGATAGGACTGGCTTGGTGATAGTCTGGCTTGTGATCCCACTAAGAAGCCTGGGGTCTGGGTGGAGGGAAGAGGTCTGTCCTTGGGTATTTCTACAGCTGTATTCATACTGGGACCTTAAGGAGACTTTCCTGGAAGATGGAGAAAGCCTAGAAACAGAAACCACTTTGTAGCTGCATGGTGCCCCTAGCCTCCCAAACTGTTGGTGGTAGCAGGGATTGAGTGGTAGCTGCTTTAAGGGAGAAATGCCACATTTCCTGCTAGATAACGGCATTGTGGTCAGATGGAAGACCCCCTTGCAGCAACTGCTTTCTGGTGAATCTCCGCTGGCAGCTTCCACCCATTTGCACTCCCTCCTCTCCTGTTCCTGACTTGTTTCCTTTCGTTCTTATTACCTTGTTCCACCCAACGTGGCTTCTCTGTCCCCGCTCCCCCCAGAGTCAGAGGTTGCCGGGTGTGGATGCCTGCTGGAAGCTCTGTAAGGCCAGGCTACACAGTCTTGTAGCTGAGTGCCATGGGGAGCAACAACAAGAGCCTCAGGCTGGCAAGATGCTGCTGATGCCTCCACTTTGACTGCAGTGGTCACTGGCATTAGAGATTTGCAATGGAGCATGGAGGAGAGAGTTTCAGGGAGCTGCTTGCTGCCCCAGAAATGTTGTCTGCCTGGGGAACAAGCCCAGACTAAGCCATGGAGGAAGGCTGAGCTGGGTGGGGTCTGCAGTGTCTTGCAGCTGTCCTGTCCATCCCTCATCTCTCTCATCCTCCTTTGACCCCTGTGCCTTCTTCAGCCTACCTTGATGCTGTCCTACAGAGAAATGCCACCCTGTGGTTAAGAGAGGCCAGTTTAAGAGAAGTGAAATGCGAGGCTTAAACTGCAGGGCAGCATTCTTAGGTGTGGGACTGACACCCAGATGGAGAAGTGGAGGGAGCTTGAAGAGAAAAGGAAGTTAATAGCTTGCACAAAACCTTGGGACCATGTGCTGTGCTTGACAATGCCACCAACCACCCGGATCAGTGCCCTCTTCACAAGCCTACCCCCACCGTGAATCAGCTCAGCTTAGGTCATGGCTTGTCCCCCTACTCCTGCTCTTCCCCTGGCCCTATTAATGAGTATTTGCCCCCCGTGTTGTAGGTGATGCTGCTCGGAGATTCGGGCGTGGGGAAAACCTGCTTCCTGGTGCAGTTCAAGGACGGGGCCTTCCTCTCTGGGACATTCATAGCTACCGTCGGCATAGACTTCCGGGTGAGACTGCTGCAGCTTTCTGCACTGTGGGAGAGCCCCTCACACCAGCTCAGGGCAGGAGAGTGAAATAGTACCCCCCCACCCCGTCCTCCACCCAGATCATCAGTGAATGGAGCAGAGGTCTGTAGGGGTGCTCTTGAGCAGTTGAATTTTACTGTAAAAATCACCAAAATTGGTAGTCTAGACTAATAAGATATGGTAAGAGTGGACACTCCATAGATGTCTCTCTCTCTCTCAAAGCCAATTTAGGGACTACTGCTGCTTTAGTCTGGTGGGGGGTTTTTGCTATGCTGCACGGTCATCACAATGAAAGACAAGGAAACTAATTACCATATTCACTGTGCTTGATTTATTAATAAAGAAGGGGAGCAGAGAATTAAAAACAAAACACTTGATAATGGTTGCACTGCTTCCAATTCCTCCTGTGTGACTCTATGCAGAGCCTTAATAGAGATGATAATGCTACAAGAATGGATTTCATCTATAGAGAGGACCCAAAGGACCTTATTCCTTAAATTAGTAGAGTGTCTTAGGATCATAAGAAATGATGATGGGAAAGGACCTCATGAGGTCATTTAGTCTAGCCCCCAGCCCAAGGCCGAATCATCCCTGACTAACCAGCCCAGTCAAATGTCTGGCCAACCTGCTCTTGAAAATGTCCACAGATGGAGATTGAACAACATCTCCAGGTGCCTCTTCCAGTGCTCGACCACCCTCAGAGTCACAATGTGCTTCCTACTCTCCAACCTAAATTTCCTTTGCTGCAGTTTGAGGCCATTGCTCCTCGTCCTGTCCCTTGCAGCCACAGAGAAAAGCCCATCCCCATCCTGTTGGATAACTAAAGCAGATTAGGTGGGCAGAGATGTTGCTTTAAGGATTGGGGAGTCCTGCTGATGGGTCCCTTGCACATCTTAAATAGTTTCTCAGTGGGCAAAGGTGAGTGGTTTCAGCCCAGTCTTGTGAAACCAAAGAATCCATTTAAGTTAATTAATGGCGAGATACCATTTAAGGAGTTGTTTTGAGACTGGCAAATCAGTGGAGTGGTGAGTATCTCTAATCGCATTACCACGTTTTGTTTACTAAGGGTAAGCTCATGTTTCCTTCTCAGAATAGGTGGCCAAAATGCCCAGCATTTAATTGGAGAAGTTCTCAGTGCCCTACATTACAACTGCGGTACTCCGTTAAAATCATTAGAAGAAGGCTTTCAATGTAAAAGCCTTGGCCATGCTGTACCCGTGTGTCGCCATCTCCTGTTGAAATCTTGTGATGCTGTTACCTGAACCCGAAAAGGTTGCTTCCTCTTGACGCTGTGTTGTTCTTGGCTGTCTGGTTGCTTCTTGCTTGCACAAGTAATGAACCGTGATGAGTGCTGGAAAGCTGAGCGGGGAGCAGAGATACAGACTTGCTTGTTCAGCTTGGAGAGGTTTTTATAGTCCTGTCTTCCCATAACTTTGTGGAAGGAGGAAAACTCAGCTCTTTCCTGCTTTACTGGGTTTGGAATTAGCTGACTGGCTCTCACCTTCACAGGCTGCTCCTATCCAAGATATTGCTAAAGATATTGCTGTGCGGTCTGGTTAATGTATATGAGGCATAAATCAAGTGGTCTTTTGTGTTGTGGTGGGAAATTCTCTGAGTATAATTTTAACTTTTTTCTTTTACCGAGTCATTCCTCAGAGAGATCCTTTTGGTTTCCTCAGGGCATAATAGGAGCTGAAATTCTGTTTCAAATAACTGAAGTCCAAACACTGTTGCTGTAAAAATCTTCCAACTCTCAATGGTCTTTTCTTTACTGTAATCCTTAAAGGGAGTTTTTAAACTTGAATAAACAGAAAAAGAAGTTGTTTCCTCTTCTTAACAAGCTGCGGAGAGATGTCTCTTATATTCCTGAGGTTGATAAGAGAGTTGCTTAAGCATTGTCAAATACTTACTTCCCCAATTAATATCAATATTTTTACACTTGAATGGGTGCTTGTTTTTGGATCCAATTGTATCAAATGTCCTTCCTGTATTTTCCACAAACCGTCTCATGTAACAAGGGATCAGAAAGCTGTTATGTGATGGGAGGTACAAAGAGATACAGTACTTGCAGGCATGCATCTCAAGCAAGACTTGTTATCTCGGGCACTGAAGAAACAATAAAAGGTTTACATGGCTGACATTTTCTGCAGACCATTTTGCATCCATCAAGGTCTGCTGGCTTGCGAATGTTTGTGAGAGAAAACACTTCCAGTAAGACAATCTTTAGCACCTTTTGAGCAGGTTTAAATTAGAGATGTTTTCTCATGAAGCAGATGTAAGAGGCTCATTTTATGTCACAGTCTGTGGCTCTGAAAAACACATTCCTTTGCTCTTCCAAAATCTTTTGAAACATAAATATCTGGCAAGCTTGTTCTAAGGAATAAAGATCATGACTAGACCAAACTGGTATCTTAGGCTATAAACAGATGTTGCATTTGTCCTGAGATAAAACATTTTTTCCCAGGACAAAGTGCAGTAGTTTAGATGCCCATGCCCATTGTTAAATCCTGGACAAGATAAGAAGTACTAACAGTTTATCCCAGGACATTGTAAAGTGCAATGGTTATCCCAGGGTTGCATCATTGAATCAATGGGAAAAAGCACAGCGCATTCAGCACACTCACTAAATCCTGATTAGAAATGTGATGTGTGTGCATGCCAATCTCGGGGCATTTCTGTTCTGGAACAAACCCAGGCACAACTTGTCCAGGAACAAATGTAATGCATGTTCCTAGCCTTATACAGAGGATCTTATTCTTCCAAGAGATACTTTTTCTAGTGGTTGACTGTTGGCTAATTGGTTCCTCACTTTACAAGCCACCATTTAAAATGTGCGATTGAAGGCTTCTGTTAAGCATGTGATTCAAAGCACAGATTTTAATCAGCAAATGAACTATACACTTTGAAAACACTGCCTAAAAGAAAATAACAAAGAATATCCAAGAAGGGATAGAGCCTGCCTTTTTAGGTCTGTGTGAAGGCATTTGGGTGATTCATGGCCAGTGGTGTTACGTCTTCTGACGTTTCAAACTCGACCATGGGTGACAGAAAGCAAAGACCCCTTAGAATTTCTTTAATTAGCCTGAGCATCGCAAGTAATTAAATACACTTTAGGTGTTTTATACTCTCCGAGCGCTGCAGCTAGGAAAGTAATTGCCAATATCTCTTAAAGTCACTGAAAGATGCAGGCAAGGCTGTAATGATCTGCTGATAGAAGAGTAAATGATGATTTTATTAGTGAAACTACATTTGTGTCAATATTGAGATTTCCAACCCCCACCCACACACCC